TCCTCTCATAGTCTGCAGATGCAGGGAAGTCAGAAGTGAGAGGGAGAGAAGAGATGGTGGACTGAGAAGAAGAAGAAGAAGACCTCTCTCTCTCTCTCTCCTTGTTACGAACCAGATACTAACCTGTGATGTTGGCGTTGTGCTGCAGGTACCTCGAAGACGGAGCTGGAGCAACGGCACTGCAGGTAGGTACCTCTGGCCTCCGCCCAAGCGCTCTCTCTCTCTCTCTTGTGCTACCTAGCTATGGCGCCCAGCGCTGGAGACTACAGCTACCTACTGTGCCCAGCGTTGAAGACTACTAGCTAACGCTACAACTACTACAACGCAGCGCTCCCTCCAGAGTGCTGCACCCGAATCCCGGAGACTACAACTGACCGAATGCCTTCCTCGGAAGTGCCTGGGAAGTCCTATGTACTACCTCGGCCTGCCTCCTGACTACTGGAGGCCAGTCAGGCCGAGGAGACAGCTCTTGCCAATGTCGAAGTGTGCCAGGGGCTGGCGTGCAGCAGCCTGCTTGAGGCTGGCGTGGGAAACAAACTATTAATAGTCTGTTCCCGAAACCGTGGTTCGGTGCCTGAGTTTCAGGGCCGGTCGTTCTGATGAACGACCGAAAATGGCCCTTCGTTTCAAGCTAAAAATGCTGTAGCCATTTTTAGTCTGAAACGACACAGGGACAGGCCTTGGAATTCAGGCTTTCGGCCAGAACCGACAGGGGGCTTGTAAGCCCTGGATTTCAGGCTTTCGGCCTGAAATTCAGGCTTTTGGCCTGAAGTTCGGGCTTTTAGCCTGAACGGACGCAGGCCTGCAAAATGGCCTGCGTGTGCACGCGCAGCATGTAACACCCCCCCCTCCTTATGAAGTCAAGCCGGGGCGAGGGCGAAGCCGTCGATCTGAAGGTGGAACCTGGACGCGGGCGCGGCGGGGAGCCGAAGAAACCGGCTTGCCTTGCATCTTGCGTTTGTAGCGTGCGAGAACGTTTGGAGCTGTTGCTTGAAGTTCCGCACGGGTTAACCAACGGTCAGCTCGGTGTGTGCAGTATGCAAAATGCACTAAATACTCAGTTGGCTTGTTGCCAAAGCGTCGCTGGGAGATGATGTCGCGGACCTCCTGAAAACCATCCATAGAAGGTGGGTCTTGCGTACGTCTCCCGGGAAAGTCGTCATGATCCACTGGCATGTAGAGAGCCAGTTTGGAGTAATGAAAGACTGGGTAGACAGGCAAGTGGCTTGGCACCTGAATCGTGAAGGAGGGTCCTTCGGGTGTGTCCCCAGCGGGCTCTATGATCGGCCAAGGCCCCATCCATTTTGGGAGGAGCTTGCGAGAGACGTCTTGTTCGAGGCTGAATTCCGCTGCTGAAACCCAGACGAGGTCCCCGACGCAGAATGGGCAAGGAAGACGTTGGCGATTTGCCTGTTGGCTCATGTGCCGCTGCGTCTTAGCCATCTGGTCGCGTGCCTTGACAAGAAGCTCTTGCATCCGACACAAGAAAAGAAGATGGTCGTCACTCACGGTCGTGCGTGGAGTAATCGTGTCCAATGGTGACGTGACCGGCGAGCCGTGCTCGAACTCGAAGGGTGATATCCCAATAGCCGGGTGGATGGAAGAGTTGTAGGCCAACTCAACGTTCGGCAGTCGTTCAACCCAGTCTTTCTGGTCGGGGTGGATGAGAGTGCGAAGGAGAACCTGTGCGGTCTGATGCGCCCTCTCCGTCTGACCATCTGTCTGAGGGTGGCGAGCTGAACTGGGCTTGAGAGATGAGCCCCATCGCTTGATTCGCGCCAACCAAAAATCGGACATGAACCGAGTGTCGTGGTCGCAGACGATCTCCTTGGGGTAACCCTTGGTGCGAACGCAACCGGCGTACAGAACCTCGGCCAACTCCGGTGCCTTGGCATGATAGCGACAAGGCAAAAACATGGCGAACTTGGTGAGTCGGTCGACTACTGTGAGAATCTCATCCACTCCGGTCTTGTGATTGGGGAACGGGCCGGTGATGTCCATGGCAATCGCTTCCCTTCGCCTCAACGGGACTGGTAATGGTCGTAACTCGCCGTACGGACGATGGTTGCGGGATTTGCAGCGTCGGCAAACCTCGCATGACTCGCAATAGCGCGTGACGTCGCCGAGAAGGCCGGGCCACCAAAATCGCTCGCGAAGTTGGCCAATCGTGCGATGGACTCCAAAATGTCCAGTGGCGGGAGCGTCGTGGAACTCGCCAAGAAGCCGTGTACGCAAGTGAGGATCACTTGGTACGCAAAGAAGGTCCTTCCCCCGCGTGTGGACAAGCAAGTACCCCTCTTGGATCCGGTAGTGAGAAGGAGCCGGATTAGGAGAGGAGCAATTCGCGTACTTGTCGCGAAACTCGGGGTCGGCTTGGTAGTCGCGGAAGAAGTTGTTCCGCAGGTCGTCGTCAATCTCGAAGGTCGAGTGGACTGCGGTACAATGATCCGGACGCCGTGACAGAGCATCCGCAAAACGGTTCGACTTCCCGGGAATGTGATCGGGAAAGAAGTCGAACTGGTCGATGAAAGTCATCCATCGGGCGATGGTGTTGTTGACGGTGTCTTGTGTCTTGTAGAAGACCAACGGATTGTTGTCCGTTACCCATCGAAACTGGCTTCGACCAAGGAGGAAGTGTCGCCACCGCTTGAGCGCGTGGACGAAGGCGAGCAGCTACTTCTTGCGTGCATCGTCAATGGAAAGCACAAGAGGCACTTTCTTGCTGAAGTATTCGACCGCGTGCCAGTCCACACCATCATGTTGCTCGAGGACTGCACCAATGCCATAGCCTGACGCATCCGTAGTGACACGTGTAGGCGCGAGCGGGTCGTATATCCGCAAGACCTCCGCAGACAATAGCGTGGCTTTGAAAGTGAAGAATGATCATCGCGCCTCCTCTCCAAAGTCAAACGGCCTATCCTCGCACTGAAGCTTGTTCAAGTGGGCCACGATCTTGGAGTAGCCTTTGATGAAGCGCTGATAGTAGCCGGTAAGACCGAGGAACGAGCGGACATCCGTGACATTCCGAGGCTCCGGCCACTCTTGGACGGCCTGAATCTTGTCTGATAACGGACTGATGCCCTCCGGTGTAACTAAATGGCCAAGTATTTCAGCTCTTGCCGGACAAATTCGCACTTGTCGTGGTTGGCCTTGTACTTGGCACGGCGGAGCATCTCCAACACTCGTCGAAGATGTCCAAGATCCTCCAATGTCCGGCTGTAGACGAGAATATCGTCTAAGTAGACCAGCACGAACTGGTCCAACATTGCACGAAACTCGTTGGTCATCGCCGCCTGGAACGTTGCTGGGGCGTTGGTGAGGCCAAAAGGYATGACCACCCACTCAAAATGCCCGTACCGTGTCTTGAACGCGGTCTTGTAGCGATCGTTCGGCTGGATCGAGATTTGATGGTATCCCGATTTCAAATCCAACTTGGAAAAATACTTTGCGCCGCCCAGCCGCTCGAGAAGATCGTTGATGCGAGGGAGAGGCCCCGCATTCTTGACGGTTTGCGCGTTGAGCTTGCGGTAGTCGATACGCAATCTTCCTGACGAAGAGAACTGGTGCTCCATATGGGGAGCTACTCGGGCGGATCCAGCCCTTGGCCAACAAATCATGGATCCGATAGATGCAACCTTTCGGCGGCACGGCACCGGCCTCAAGAATGATCTCGTGAGAGATCGGCCGACCCGGCACCACACCGGTAGGTGACTCGAAGATGTCGGCGAACTCATCCAGCAACCGTACCACACGGGGATCCGAAGACAAGTCCGTGGGTGAAGAGTCGGCTACCGCGACGGTCCGTAAGAAACATAGGCCGATCTCCTCGGGTTGCTCGTAAGCGCAAGTTGCCCGGAATGATTTGGCCGTCACCACTTGGCACCGGATCGAAGAGTGCGGTAGAGGAATAGTACATGCCACTTCCGCGCCGAAGGCGTCGSGAAYGCTAAGAGTCCGCSGATGGAAGTTGACCGTGTGATCCGCACTTGCAAGCCAAGGCATTCCCAGAATGATGTCGAAGTCCGTGTCGAGAATATCGAATGTCACCGGTTCGCATGCATGAGGTGCGAAGTAGACCGGTACGGCCTCGATGTAACGATCGAGCAGTTGCTGCGTCTTTCCATCCTCCAACTTGATCGCCGTCGGGTTTGTCTTTCTCCGAACTTGTGCGCCAAGGCCAGCCCTTTGCATAAAAGACTGGCTCATGAAGTTGCGAGTCGCGCCGCTATCCAGCAAAGCGCTGCAGGTCGCTTGCCCAACTTGGATGCGGACATACATGAGCGGTGCATTGTTGTTATCGTACTGCTGCGTGCGAAACTCGCGGGCCACCTTGGTGGTATATGCCAGGATGTCCCCCACCGCGACTTCGTCATCCGTCGGCGAAGTTGGTGGTGCATAGAAGGAAAGGTAAGTGTGGAGATGAGCGCTAAGTGTTGCGCATTGCGGTCCCGGCAAACAGCCTGTGGTCGGGAGAGGGAGCCATGCAAAGTCCTCAGACGTGAGCGGGTCCAATGCCTCTATATTGAAATTGCGCGGCGAATCCCGTGACGAACCACTTGAAGACGATATGTCGCTGTTGCCGGACGGAGAAAAAAACACACACACAGATGCCATACGGGGTCCATGGGCCCGTCTGAGCTGCTGCACCGGGCCCGGGGCTAGAAACAGTGTGTGTCTTCGTCTTGCCGCGCCCTCGGCCTATGCCGGCGCGGCCACCTTCCAGGGCGGCTGCGAATCTGTCTCCTTCACTGGCAGACGCAGCCTCGCTGGTTTGGTCTAACGGCGCTGCCGCTGTGACCACAGCCACTCTTGGTCGATGCTGGTCCCTGCTCGGGCCTGACGCAGATGAACGGACGTTCTTGGCCTCCTTGTTCGTGACGATGATTTGCGCAGCCTTGTCAAATAATTCCGCCGTCGTCGTCAAGGTGTCCTCGACATGCGTCAGGGCATTGCTCAATGTCGGACATGACCTTGAGATGAAGTAGTGGCGGATGGCCTTGAAGCCCATCTGGATGTCTGGGACTGACGACAAGCGTTGGTACTTGGCGATCCAGTCCGTACTCGGCAGCGTGCCTTGCTCGAAGACCATGAGCTTGTCCATGGCTTTGATCTCTGGCGGCTCCACCTGGAACCGTTTGTGCCACGCCGCCTTCAGATCATCCCAAGTGATCTTGGTGTGCAAGTCGGTAGCTACCACTCCGTACTTGGACAACAGGTTGTCCAACCAAGCCTGACAGGCGCCCCCTGAGCGAGAGTACAAGTAGGCGTGATGCTTGTGTTCCTTGACGTTGTGGAGCTGCAGCGTGAGCTCGAACTTGCGAAACCATGGAATTGGATCTGTCTTGATTGAGTCGCAGAAGATCTCCTGCCCATCGAACTTAGGAGCTGTCTCGCGCGGCTCCGAACTCGAGGTGGTGGCGGTAGTGCAGATCCGCTGCTGCAACTGTTGTGTCGTGGTCTACTGTAACTGTGCGCCGTCCTGGAGGGAGCCGACGTGCATCTCCAATGCGGTGAGGCGGTAGGCAGTATTGGAAGAGCCTGCGTCGGCGGCGGCGACTGGTCGCTGCTCCAACCGCTGAAGGCGGTCTTGGAGATGAGCTATCGAGTTGTCGAGACCAAGGATCTCCGCCTATTGTGTAATGCAGGTTGCAAGGAGATCCGTGAGATGCGAGAGGAGGAGCGCTATCTTGTTTGCGCTATCCTCCAACTGGCTATTCTCGGCCTCGCTTCGCCATTCTGCTGCCATGGTAAGTAATGCCCGCTCTCCGGTGAATATCTTCTCACGACGCTGTGTTCTTTCTTCATCGGCAGCCCTTGCTGCTGCCTCGTCATGTTGGCGCTGTTGTTCAACTGCCAGTAGACGTGCCTGCTCGGCATCCTCTGCCCTTTTCTTTGCTGCTGCGGCAGCGTCATCTGCCCGCTTCTTTGTCTCGGTACTCCAGGCTAATATGTGGGCCTGATAGGCCTCGTCTGTTTCTCCGGGCCTCTGGTCCATGACTGCTGTTTGTGAACGCAACAGCGTAGACCAGACCGGTGCCTGCTGATGTGGTATCCCTTGCTGTTGACGTGGCAATGCTGATGTGTCCTTCTGACGTGTCCTGCTGACGTAGCCTGCTGACGGGGCCTGTTGACGTACTTATGTAGCCTGCTGAAGTGGCTTGCTGACGTGGCAACTTACCAATGCCGCCGCAAGGGGTACCCGGATACAACCAGAAACGGCAAGGCGAGAGATGGCAACAACATAGGTGGGGAGGGGTGGGTGGGATAATCGCCTGAAGTACGAAATGATCTCTGAAAGCGAAAAAAATTTCGACTTTAGACTGCAACCGATTTATAGACCAACTGACAGAATCCAAGAACTTAAAGCGAAAAAAAATTCGACTTTAGACTGCAACCGATTTATAGAACCAACTGACAGAATCCAAGAACTGCGAAAAGAATCCGAACAGAAATGACAAGTATTCGGATTTATTCCGATGGGAATATTCGCAGTTTGGAAAATAATATGCAGGAGGTATTTCCCGTACCATTTTCAGAAAAACGAATTTCAGAAAATAAGATATTCCGAAGTTCTAAGTAACGGGAAATGCAACAGAAAATCGAAACTTTCAAAAAGAAATATATTCCGGATTTTCAACAATGAAATTTCGAATTTTCAGAAAGAAAAATGAAAATAGGAATTTCAGATGTTGCAATATAGCGATGTTCCACAGCAGAATAGCGAGAAAATAAAATCCGAGAAAAGAAAAAAAAAATCGATTTTTTTTTTGTAGTAAGGTCAAGATCGTGATTTTGGGGTATGTCCTAATCAAACAGAAAAGACTAACTAGCTTTTTAGTCCCCGCACACGTGGCAAATCAGGTTGTCATGATTCACGTGCAAAAGCTCCGATACCAACTGTTACATGCATAGATATGGAATATACGTAATAAACCGAGAATCTGCAATGTGATGAAAAGGATTGAATAGACAATGCGGTACGAGTAGAATCTCGACAAGCAATGTACATTCTCGTTCATACATAAAGATGCTGAAGAGCGCAGGGAAGACTTTGATACAAAGACCGACCTGACAGGACTGAGCTCATTCACGTAGTTCGGAGTAAAGAGCAGAATGCTAGAGTGCTACTAACTAGCCCAATCAATGTTTGAACTCAGACTAAACATGCATTGTATCCATCACCGAGTGTGAAGGAGCCTGGCGCTGCACACAGGAAGAAAGCGCCAGGTCCACACATACATAGACGAAGAGATAAGGATCAGACGAAAGGAGGGAGGAAGATGGGAATGTCGTTAACACCAAGTCTTGGTCACCAATCCCAAATAGTCCCTCGTTGCCATGTCTGAACCCCCGAAAGTGGAGTCTGGATCAAATGTCACCAAGCTCTGTATCTCTCCTCTCATAGTCTGCAGATGCAGGGAAGTCAGAAGTGAGAGGGAGAGAAGAGATGGTGGACTGAGAAGAAGAAGAAGAAGACCTCTCTCTCTCTTTCTTTGTTACGAACCAGATACTAACCTGTGATGTTGGCGTTGTGCTGCAGGTACCTCGAAGACGGAGCTGGAGCAATGGCACTGCAGGTAGGTACCTCTGGCCTCCGCCCAAGCTCTCTCTCTCTCTCTCTAGTGCTACCTAGCTATGGCGCCCAGCGCTGGAGACTACAGCTACCTACTGCGCCCAGCGCTGAAGACTACTAGCTAACTCTACAACTACTACAACGCAGTGCTCCCTCAAGTGCTGCACCCGAATCCAGAAGACTACAACTGACCGACTGCCTTCCTCGGAAGTGCCTGGGAAGTCCTATGTACTACCTCGGCCTGGCTCCTGACTACTGGAGGCCAGTCAGGCCGAGGAGGCAGCTCTTGCCAATGCCGAAGTGTGCCAGGGGCTGGCGTGCAGCAGCCTGCTTGAGGCTGGCGTGGGAAACAGATTATTAATAGTCTGTTCCCGAAACCGTGGTTCGGTGCCTGAGTTTTAGGGCCGGTCGTTCTGATGAACGACCGTCGTTCTGATGAACGACCGAAAATGGCCCTTCGTTTCAGGCTAAAAATGCTGTAGCCATTTGTAGTCTGAAACGGCACAGGGACAGGCCCTGGAATTCAGGCATTCGGCCTGAACCGACAGGGGGCCTGTAAGCATTGGATTTCAGGCTTTCGGCCTGAACGGACGCAGGCCTGCAAAATGGCCTGCGTGTGCACGTGCAGCATGTAACACCCTTTCTATCCTTCCCTATCACTCCCCCGCTCACACTGACTCCCTTGCTTTCACCTCTCTCTCTCTCTCTCTCTTGTATGTGTCTAGTACTCATTGAAGAGCTCGCCACGGGAGCGCAGTGGTATTTTTAGAATTTGCGCTTTCCTCAATGCCAACCTCAGAATTTGCGCTGCGCGGGGAGACATTTCGGGTTTTCACCGTGTATTCTTCCTCACTGGATTGTATGTTTGTTCCCTCCCTTACCGCACTCTCCATGAACCCTCCTTTCTGTCGGGTTCCCGCTTGCTTGATTGTCTATTCATCTTTGTGTGCTCTCTCGCTTTTCTCTTGACAGGCTTTCTCGTGTGACGTGTATCTGATCACCTCTTGTGACGTGTATCTGATCGTCGCCGCGGGAAAGAAACAGGCAGTAGACTGCCTTGCCTCAGCAAGCCCCGATGGAAATGGGATTTCAAAAAAAGAGAAAAAAAAAGACAGTGAAAGTGAATCTCACGGCAATTACAGCTCCAATTTCCAATTAGCTCCTTCGGGAGTCACTACGATTTGCACGTCATTTTATTCACATATTTATTTCTTTATTTTTGCTAATAATTCCACTTCAATAAATTGGGAGACCATCGCGCTCAGATTTCGATGGTGTTACAGTGACACATGCGCGCCTGAGTGGTTTCTGGCTTCGAGCTCGTTGATGGGATGGAGGGAAAATCCCCCTTCGTGCATTGGCTGGGGCACAGAACCAGGGGTGTGGTTGAGGCCCGCCTCTCATCTTAGGTTCGTGCACAAGATCTGGTAGTTCGTGCTTTCTCCGCGCTCAATCTCAACTCCCCTTGTGTGGATTACTGCTGCGCGCTGGTCAGACCTGCGCCCCCTTCCCCCCCGCCCCTCCTCGCGCACTGATTGGTCATTAGCTGTTATGTCTCCTGCGCAAATTGGATGATCCCTCTAAGTGTCGTCCCTTTGAGGAAGAAACGTGGTATTGTGGTACTTTTCAGAATCTTTGACAGTGGGCGGTCACCGCTTCGCTCCCCACGCGAGGAAGCAGAAAACGTATCTACATGCAGAACATGGATAGGTATGCGGCCATATTCTTTCTTTGCACAACGGTCTGCGTCAGACCATTCCCCAGACGAGGTGGATGAGAGTGCATTCTCTGTTAGAACATGAACAGGTACACAACCATTGCCCACGTACCATCTGCGCGTGAGAATCCCCTCCTCTTGTGCTTGTTCCCTTTTGTGCGTTCCCCCTACCGTGAAGCCCCGCTAGTGAATCGAGACCAGGACGTTCTCCTGGCATGCGCGCATGACCAAAACCTAGCATTGGTTCGTTCAGCGAGCAGATGTGTCCATCGGTGCGCGAACAATTACCAGGGTCAAGGGCCCTGTTCCTGCCTGACTTGGATTACTGTCCGATATCAGTCCACCGTGCTTGATTGGATTCCCATGCATGATTAGTCGTCCATGTGTTGATTGGACGATTGCTCTCATTCCCTCACATGGTGGCGCTTTCTCACATCGTGATGTTTCTCTCTCTCACTCATGCTATCTCCCTCTCACTGCGCAGTCTCTCTCCTTAGTTCTCTCTCTCACGGAGTTTTTTGTCTCTCACTTCTTCTCTTACCTGCATTGGCTCCGTTAGCTCCATGTGTGCGCCCTGCAAACCAGTTCCCTAGCTCATCCGTGAATGTGCTTGGACGTAGCTGGAGCCAGGTGCTTGCAACATGCAAAAGGGAGATACGGGCCCTTTCTCTTTTCTTCGCTTTATAACTTCTGTTGTGGTTGCCTGCCCGTGCAATGCATTCCTTTTGGTCGCCTCAGTCCCGAATGTCCCCTTCCCGTTGGTCTCGCCTATATTGCCCCAAGGGGATGGCATCCGTCCCTTAAACAGGTACCTGCTCGTAATTAGGGACTGGCACCGTCCGTACCCACAGTACCAGGCCCACAAGCTTGGAATATTGTCCCCCCAGCACCTGCGGCTCAGTTGGTACCGAAGGTTTGGGCCCGGTAGTCCTGGGTCAGTGCCCCTTGGATCGAGGATTTACATCTTCACTGAATGAATAAATTACACCTAGTCTTTGGACGAGTGTCGGGACTGGTGGGTCCCGAATAACATCCCGTCACTCGAGAGACCGTATATAGCCAGATTGTGCGCGACAGAGAAATCTGGAGTAAGGAGGTAAGATAGAGAAAAGACAAAGGACTAGGCCATCAGAAGGAATGATGCCCTGGGTTGGGAACCGTCGGGGAAAGAACCAGCGACGATAAGCAAGTAAGCACAAGGACAGGGTCACATGGAACGTTGCATGAGGCCAAAAGGGCCATCGGAATTGAGCAAGACTCAGGCCAAGGGGCCATTGACCCGGCGAACACGGCGCGGCAGCGACAAAAGAATGAGGAAGTCAAGAGGTGGACGGCCCCGGAGGCCGTGGGATGCCTGAGAATAAGGGCCCGACATCGGGGCCACCTACGACAATTAACGGGACTATCGGTAAGATGGAGGCCCCGCGGTCAGAGAAAAATAGTGCATGCAAGGCCCAAGAAAAAGCAAGAAAAAGAGGCCACCATATGGCGGTGGACGCCCAAAGAACGTAGGACACCTTGAGGAAAGGCATCGGGGACCATGCGGGACTAAGTGAAAATAATGGTATCCGGGCCAAATGTGTCGGGGACCACCGGCGGGACTAAGTGTCGGGAACCGCTGTGAGGACTAAGTGTCGGGGACCATTGACGGGACTAAGTGTCGAGGACCATCGGTGGAACTAAGTGTCGGGGATCACCGGCGGGACTAAGTGTCGGGGACCACCGGCGGGACTAAGTGTCGGGGACCACCGGCGGGACTAAGTGTCGGGGACCATCGACGACAGGGACATATGAAGGTCTCAAGAGGAAACGGCGGCACCACATGAAGGAAAAATAATTAAGACAAGGTGCACCGTCAAGATCGAGATCTTGATGGCCAAAAATATTAGCACCGCTAGTGCAAGCACTAGCGGTAGCAAACGGGAATGCCGAAAGGAAAAGAAAAAGTAAAGAAACTTGAAGTGAGAGGCATGGGCGCAATCCGAAAAATCTCGGATCAGCCTCCCTCAAGAAAATGGAGTCAAAAAAGACCCCATGAGAAAAATAGGCCTCCGGGAGAAAATCGGAGTAGGAGGGGCCACTATGGGAGAAAAATAGAGGAAAGAGGGACCCATGGGCATGAGAAGGCCATTATTGCAGTCCGAGAAATAACGGACTGCACCTTGGGCATAGGAAGGGCCAAAACTAAGAGGAAGGGGCTAGAAAAGGGCCTTAACGACCACTTGACACTTGGCATGCTAGAAAATGTGGGAGAATAAGACAAAGAGTGAGAGGGAGTGAGTGAGTTGGCCGTCAGTAGGGACTGCCACAAGTAGGGACTGGCAGGTCCCTACTGTCGAAGAAAGGAGGAAAAAGAAAAAAAAGAAAAGAGAAAAGAAAAAAAAATAGAAAAAGGCCTTAAACCACCAGTACCTCCGAGCCTGTTTTTGCCGACCTTGATTTTCACTATGCTTCGAGTTTTGCCGAGCCTGGGTCCCACTCCATTTTTTTATGGTACTCTCACGGGAAGAACCCAAAAAAAAAAAAAAAAAAAAAAAGTTGCGGCGGTGAAAACTCACAAAACAAAAAAACGAAACAAAGCTCTGGGCGTGATCGCAGCTGTACACATTCTCGGAAGTGTTAGTGTGAGTGTGCCCTCAGTGAGGGCATCTCAACCCCGTGGCCAAGTTGTCAGATTCCAGGAACTCAAAACAAAAAAAATAAGACAGAAACACGGATTCGGTCGTGAAAATACATTTCCGTAAGTGCCAGTGTGATCAGGGTTACAATCCTTTGAGGGAACACAGCTCGAGCATATCACGGATTCAGATTGTAAGATTCCAGAAAAAGAAAACAAGGAAAAAAAAACGGAAACACGGATTCGGCTTTGAAAACGGCTGGATACATCAGGGTTACAATCATCTGAGGAAACACAGCTGAGCAGATTAGGATTCCACCCTGCCGGATCATTACAACCGTTCTGGAACTAACCGCGAGGTCTTCGTAATTGCACTCGCAGACGAATAGAGAGCCCCAACTCTCTTGAAAGGAAGAGGCCGGATCCATGAAAATACCATTTGGGAGGAACGATTCGCGAGGGGGTCACTTGTGGTACGATGGGGTCCTGTTAGGCGTGGACTGGAGCCGTCTAACAAATGCGAAGAGACACCTCAATAATGATGCCCATCTCCAGAAAAGTGGCCGTGGACTAGAGTAGAGGATGAGGTGACTTATCAACGGGGGAGGACTAATCACCCTTCCTTTCTTAGGCCGATGGGCCGACATCCGTCTACTTAGTTGGCAGGCAAGGTCTGCGTACCTCCAAGTGAGAACCAGTTGTGCGATGGGGACATCGCATTTTGAGTGGTGGGAAGGTGTGCCATCTACCGATGAAAAAGCGTGCAAAAGAAAAAAACACAAAAAAATGTTTGTGTAATTGACTTCGCATGGGCTTGAGAAAGGCCTGGCAAGATGTTCAGAAGAGAAAGACGTGTGTAATTGATTTTGCATAGGCTTGAGAAAGGTCTGGCAAGATGTCCAGAAGAGAAAGGCATGAGTAATCGACTTTGTGTGGGCTTGAGAAAGGCCAGGCAAAATGTCCAAAAGAGAAAGGGATGTGTAATTGAATTTGCGTGAGATTGAGAAAGGTCAGGCAAGATGTCCAGAAGAGAAATGAATGTGTAATTGACTTTGCGTAGGCTTGAGAAAGGCTTGGCAAGATGTCCAGAAGAGAAAGGCATGTGTAATTGACTTTGCGTGGGCTTGAGAGAGGCCTGGCAGAATGTCCTGAAGAAAAAATGCGTAAGAAATGGACTAGGTTGAGCTTGGGTGCAAGAAAGGTTGAATAAGGGAGACATGCATATGAAAAAGGCAGGACTAGAGAAAAGTCGGGCAGAATGACCTGGAAGAAATACATGAGAATTCGGTTGAGCTTGAG